TTTTTTTTTTTTGGTAGCATTGTTGTAACTTCAAAAGAAAGTTGCATGCTGGTCCCAAGCCCAGATAAATGGGGAGGGTTGAGGTAAGACCTGGCAACCTACCTTGTAAAAACCTTGCCAAGAAAATTTTATGGAAAGGTTCTCAAATGAATCAGATATGGTGCCCAATGGTAGGACCCCCAGACCAGAAGGTACCCAAGAAGCTACTGAGGAAGAGCAAGGACCTGAAGTGAGTAGTCAAGGCATTAATGATGTGCCTGGGGCAAATCCAGCAGGAATCCCAGCTGCTGATGCAGCCATTGGTGAAAGCAAGGGTCTGCGCTGCACGAAGACACATCAGATAGCAACATGGAATGGCCGAGGAATGAGCCCAGGTAAATTGGATATCATCAAACAGTAGATGGCCAGGTTGAAAATCAACCTCCTTGGTGTAAGCAAGCTATACTGGGTGGACAACTGCTATTTCCAGTCTGAGGAATTCACTATTACTCAGGACATGACACCAGGAAAATGAATGGAGTGGCATTTATCACAATCAAGAAACTCGCCCAAGGAGTGGAAAGCTTCTCAACAGTTCATGATTGCATTATGACCATCTGAATCTGTTCCAAGCCCCTCAAAATCACAGTCCAAGTCTACGCCCCAATGACTGATGCAAGAGCTCAAAATAGAGGATTTCTATGCTAGTATCGAAAGAACTCGGAAGCCAGTGCCTAAAAAAGGCATGGTTTACATACTGGGTGATTTCAATGCAAAAGTTGGCAGCCAACAGGAAACAGGCATCACTGGCAGCTTTAGACGTGGGGAGGAGAATGACGCAGGCGATCGTCTGGTTCAATTTTGCAAAGAAAATCGATTTTGAATCATGAACACCTGGTTCAAACCACACAAGTGTCGCTTATACGTTTGGACCTCACCCAATAAACTGCACCGTAATCAGGTCAACTATGTCCTATGCAGCCATCGATGGACCAGTTCAGTCCTCGATGTCAAGATATATCTGGGTGCCAACTGCGATTCAGATCATGAATTGATGGTGGCTAAGATCAGGGTCAAGTTATGCAAGATCAAAATGACCGCACCACCAAAGAAGTCTGACATCCCTTCCACGTGCATAATGGAGGTGAAAAACAAGTTTGAACTGCTGGACACTGCTGAGACGAACTGTGGCAAGAAATTCAACTGACCATCACTGAAACAGCAGTTGAACACATACCACACAACAAGCCACAGAAAAAGTACAAGCGGCTCTCCGATGAAACCATCAGAATAGCCGAGCACAGAACAGCAGGCAAGGCAGCAGGCAAACGGGAGGGAGCACAGAGACTGAATGTGGATTTCCGAAGAGCAGCAAGAAAGACAACGAAGTTCACTGGGACCAGCATCGCATTGGACTCATGACCATATTGCAAATCTATGCTGGATCATGGAAAAATCTCAAGGATATCAAAAGAACATCTACATTTGCTTTGTAGACTACAAGAAAGCCTTTGACTGTGTTGATCTCGCATTGGACTCATGACCATATTGCAAATCTATGCTGGATCATGGAAAAATCTCAAGGATATCAAAAGAACATCTACATTTGCTTTGTAGACTACAAGAAAGCCTTTGACTGTGTTGATCTCGCATTGGACTCATGACCATATTGCAAATCTATGCTGGATCATGGAAAAATCTCAAGGATATCAAAAGAACATCTACATTTGCTTTGTAGACTACAAGAAAGCCTTTGACTGTGTTGATCATGACAAGCTGTGGAGAGCCGTAGAAGACCTGGGGGTGCCAACACACCTGGTCAAGTTGGTGCAGTCACTGTACACAAATCAGGAAACCACTGGGAGAACACCGTATGGAGACACTGACTGGTTCAAGAAAGAGAAAGGAGTAAAGCAAGATTGCATTCTTTCACCTTTCTTATTCTACCTGTATGCTGAAGTGATTGCAAGGAAGCTGGAACTTAAAGAATCAAAAATCAGAGTAAAGACTGGAGGAAGAAACATAAACAATCTTCGATATGCTGATGACACAACTCTCATCTCAGAAACCAAAGAAGGCCTGAAACATCTGATTAAAAGGATTAAAGAAAGCGAGAAGTTTGGCCTCTTCCTGAACATCAAAAAGACCAAGCTCATGACTGCGAGGAATGGAAATGTCAAAATAGCAGTTGATGGTGAAGAGATTGAATGCGTGCAAGAATTCACTTTCCTAGGATCGCAGATTGAACCAAGCAGTGAATGCAGTCCAGAAATAAAGTGTCAAATCGCACTGGGTCGCACAGCAATGGTGAGCATGAATTGAGTATGGAAAAGCGAGGACATCAGCCTGACAGCTAAATGCACATTAGTCCACACTATAGTGTTTCCCATAGCTACCTATGGTTGCGAAAGTTGGATCATGAAAAAAATAGACAGGAGAAAAACCAACTCATTCAAGCTGTGGTGTTGGAGTTGCTCCTGCGCATTCCTTGGACAGCAAATGTGACAAACAAGCAAGTTCTGGAGCGTATAAAACCAGATATATCACTGGAGGGCAAAATCACAAAATTCTGCCTTAGTTATTTCGGCCATATCATGTGATCAAACTCATTGGAAAAGGCAGTTATGCTCAGAATGGCCAGCAATAAAAGGAAATGAGGCTGCCAAAAACCACAGTGGCTAGATGCCATCAGAGCCGACACCAGCCAGAGCATAAAACAACTAAAAGAAGCCGTACAAGATCAGAAAATGTGGAGAGAGCTGGTCCATAGAATTGCCAGGAATCGGATATGACTGAACGGATAGCATCATCATCATCAACTTCAAAGGGTTACTAAACAAGGCAGTTGGTAAGCGAGGACTGCATTACCCCCAGAAAAAAAACATTTGTAGTGGATAGCATTTTCGGGAAGCATCATGGGGAGGAAACAATTGTTGTCATGCCCAGCTGGTGGCTTACCCAGAAAGATGTGAAGGATCATGGTGACAGAAAACATTTCTGCTCTGGGAGGTCCCATTCCTCTGGGGTTGATGGACACATTTGGAATTCTAAGAGCACACAATGGGTTCTCTCACAAATGGATGTCTTGGTGAGCTCAGCTCTTCCCAAGAAGCTGCCAGGGGGGCACAGCCACTCCTTAAAAGCCCCTTACCATAAGCAAATTGATGGGGCTGCTCCCTCCCTATTTTCTAAGCCACCACTGAGTTACAGCTGTCCACCATTTTTATTTCTCCAGAAGCTTTCTTGGAAACAAAAACAGAAGCTTGCTAACTTCCCAAATGATTTCACTAAAGCAAACTTTTTAGAAAGGGAATAAAATCAGGGGGCACGAAGCCTAGAAGAACCAAGAGAGTGTCACAGGCACCTTCAAATATCCCTCAGTGCCACGTTCAGGACCATCTTTCAGTTTGATCAGCCAAGTTCTTATGGCTAAAGGAATTCATCCCTAGGTTTTTCAAAGCATTTTGGTCTACTCACTGTCACCATCCATGGGGACCTCAACCTTCACAATGTCCGCTGGATCCAGTTCAGAACTGGGAGAATCATCAGGCAAGTCAGCCAGATCCTCCTGTATCTGAAACATGAAGATGTCTAAGAATATGATTGGGACGCATCTTTTCAATACCAGCCAACAGCTAGCACACAAACCAGGATCAACTGGACATTCGCATTTCAGTACTTCTCTGACTCTGGCAAAATAATTTGAAAAGGCTGCAAAACCACTGGAATCCATGGAGCAATGAGGTGGCACAACCGAAGGCAGTTTTAGAGGTTTGTAAAGTGACAAGGAAAGGCCACAGTCTAGTTGTACAGAACAAGTGTGACATGTCTTAATTTTAATCTCTTAGACTGGCAATGATGGAGAAGACCATCCCGAAATCTGAGAAGAATGCCAGCCAAAACAGATCCAGTTTAGCCATTCCTATTTCTTAACTGGGTGTAAGGAACTGTCATACTTCCACAGAATTTAGCACTGAGGGTGGATATAAATGCAGCAAATAAATTAAAAGGCAGAAGCTTCTGTGAACTGCAGCTCACTTCATCGGAGGCATAGAGTGGCTGGGCCGATGTAGGATTTAAACTGAAAATTTAAATTCAAAATGAGGACGGAGGGGAACCTGGTGGAAGACAGATTGGTTATGCAGCTGCAAGACACCCGAGACACAGATCACAAGTATCTTAACAATTGTAATGTGTCAGAAACCGACTGTATGTATTGTGATCTCTCTTTAACGGCACCACCGAGGGAGAGTTTGCTGAACTCACACACATTGAGAGGTTCCAGGCCATCTCAGAAGGTCTCAGCGCACCCACTGGGTTTAGGACACTTTGCTATTCGGTAAGGTACTTCTAACCTGTTTCTCATGTCACCAGCATCTGCATCACCCACCTATCTTTCTCTCCTTTACCCCGTCTCACCCCAATTTAAATCTAGCCACACCGTGCACCTGATTATGAGCTCCAGCTCACGAAAGCTTATGTCTTTTCATAAAATGTTCTAGTTGGAAAAAGGTGCCACCAGACTCCTCCTGATTTTAGGCTGCTTATTCAACATTAAAAACACTCCCATAGTGGGTTAGTTGGAAGGCCCCTCCCCAGCATCTTCCAACTCTCAGATTCTACAAGGGTGTAGAATGGTGTTTCTCAACCTTGACAACTTTAAAATCCAAGGACTTTAACTCCCCGAAATGGCTGGGTGGGGGAGTTTGGGGGGTTGGAAGACGTGGATTTTAAAGTTTGTCAGGGTGGAGAAACACCATTCTACACCCTTGTAGAATCTGAGAGTTGGAAGATGCTGGGGAGGGGCCTTCCAACTAACCCACTATGGGAGTGTTTTTAATGTTGAATAAGCAGCCTAAAATCAGGAGGAGTCTGGTG